TTACTACATCTCAGGGAAACTCAGCTGAGGAGGTAGACCAGGACAGAAGGTGAAAAGGGGAAATATGGAAGAGTTAAGGATGCACACACATCTGACACATCTCCCCCTCATCTTTGCAGTTGGAGAACTGGGTTCTCAGACTGCAGTTTCAGCTGACATTTAGTTCCGGCATTAAAATCTGTAGTATGCTTGGGGGATTCCCCCAAAAGGAAGACTGCAAGGTTGAGATAGAATTGAGACTGTGGGTTTTGTGAAATGCAATACTGTTTCATTAAGCAGACTACTACTTAGTAAAGGAATTTGTTTGGCACAGTTTCAGCAGTGGGTGCTTCTAGATAAACTGAGAAGTTGTTGCTATGACATGGTGGAGAAAAGTACCCTTTCAGCTCCTCTCCCTTGCTGTAAATAAACAGGAGCTTGTAGACCAAGATCTCATTGATGGAAATTGAAAAAAGTATTCTTCAAATTAACCTGTGGTATTTGGTCTGATGTATCAAAACAGGTACAAATGTGATCCCTGGCTGTGGGATCTAGAGTGGGATCTCCAGGAATTTAAGCAAAAGAAGAAGAAAATTGGGAAGAAGAAGAATGAATATGGTAATGATGAACTGCCCAGAGCCGTGGAAAAAGCCTCCATGCTGGAGTGGCAGGAAGGTAAGAGCATCGTCATAATTGACTACTAGCTTGCTAGCACACAGCAAATCACAGCTATCCCCACTGTCTACTGGCAGTTGTAATCTTTCTCTCCTAAATCTTAATCAGAAAGAGAGAGAAAGAATATACCTTAGATGGAATGAGATCTTTTGTCTGTCTGGTTTAGCATTGTCTGTACGGATTGGCAATAGCTCTCCTGGGTTCTTTCCAGCCGCACCTGGTGACGCCAGGGGTTGAACCTGTTACCCTTGGATCCAAAGCATGTAATCTACCCTTGATCCAGATCCCTTCCGCTAAGCTGTCTTTGCAATTGGGTAGGAGCAAGCATCTTTTAAAATCTTATTTACGAGCCTGAAATACGTACCTCAGCATGTGTGTATTGCAGGCAGAATGTTTTGCATCCAGCTCTCAAGTGATTTCAAAGTACGATAGTATTACCAGAGAATCTTAAAAAGTCCTGACATCCCAGAGGTGCTGTTTTAAAAAGGGTGTCTGTAATGTTGCATTTTTATTTATTTCTTAATTACAGTCTTGGAGGATAAATATGGAATACACAGGTGTTTGGAGTGCAATATAGAGGCAGTGGAGGAACATAAGAACTATGGAGTGTTACGGAGCTGACACATTTCAGCAAGAAAACATTTCTCTCCTGACCATTAAAGTTACATCTCTACTCTTCCCTAGGCTCCTGTGCAATTAAACACTCATGTATTTGAATTCCTCTTGGCCATTAAGAGTTTTAGAAATTTGCTAGCTGTCAAATTCTGCATTGGGTTATAGGCTTTGCAGGCCACCAAATAACTGCGTCCATGTAGATTCTTAAGCCCTTTGACGTAATATGTATGTAGTTAGAAAACAGCCTTGTCAACAACTGTACTCATTGAAAAATAATTCCTTTCTGATTTGTTGTATCATGGAAACAGATCCAGGACCCCCAACTGAAGAGGAAGAACAGCAGCTCCCTGAGAGCCGATTGTGCTTGGACCGTCTGAAGGAGACTGTAGCTTTGCAGCCAAAGAGAATTCAGCACCTGCCTGGCCATCCAGGGTGCGTTACTAAAGGGAAGTTGTAGACAGTGACCCTCCTAGGACCTTTTGTTCATCTCTTTGTCAGGAAGAAGGATTCCAGTTTAGTCTTCTAATATATTAGTTTTCAATGTGCATGGATTTTTTTTATATAGAGCATTTGCCCACGAGAGCCTCCACCTGTTATCAAAAGTGGGCAGCTTAGACATAGATTTACCCATGTTCCTGAGAAGTAGACCTACTTTACAGTTGGCATTTAAACAAGGGTAAAATAAATTGTTAACATTCCTGTCATGCTGAGTGGATGTTTTTTGTCTAAAAGTTAGAACCGTTTGATTTACAAGACGATTGGTCAAACAACCACTTATTTGTCTAAATTATTCTGTTTGCTGTGAACATACAGAATTCCGTTGGCAAGGTCACAGGCCTATGTAGTATAGTGAAGATTACAGGTGGCTAACTTACAACCCATATCCAACCCTCACAAAAGTATTTTATGATCCCCAAGTCTCCCCAAATTCAGCCTCTTTTAAAAATGATGAAATTTAATAATGAATGATGAATAATTATTTTCAATAGTGTAGAATGGCTGGTGGGAAAGTCTCTCAGAAGGCAGCCTTTTGAATGGCAGCTCTGGCCACACCCACTTCTTACACTGGCCACACCCAGTTTCACACTTAACCCCTCCCCCCAAGGGTTGGCAATAAGCCAGTGCAGCCCTCAGCCTGAAATAGTTTACTACTACTGCTAACGAAGCATAGCATTGTAAAATGGAAGCCCCCCTATAATTAATTTCCTGCAATGAGGCATGCTTCTTTGTATTCAAACTCCCCTAGTACAGTCTCCCATTAGCAGCTCAATTGGAAAAGTTCTCTACTTTAAAAAAGGAGCAGGCCACCTGGAAGCATCAGTGGACAGAGGAGGTAGCTTTTGTTAAACTGTGTAAAATCAACTCTGACAGGAGATGTAATTATTATTTAATGGATTTCCATACAGCTCCTTGGTGAAGGCCTTTGAGCAATTTGGTATAAAATTTAATCTGAACAACCAATAAGAATTATCTGACATTATTGAGGAAAGCTTTTTGTTGACTTTGTGGTCTGCTCTCCCCTTGCATAGGTGGTATCGTAAGCTGTGCCAGAGACTGGATGATCCCAGCTGGGTGCCTGGGCCCAGCCTTATCAGCCTTCAGATGAGAGTGACCCCAAAGCTCATGAGGCTCACCTGGGATGGCTTTCCATTGCACTACTCTGAGAAATACGGCTGGGGTTACCTGGTGCCAGGGAGGAGTGACAACCTGCCAGAGGGGACTTCAGATGCTGACTTGCCTACTTGCCCCTTCAGGTAAGAAGTGCATTCTGGGGTGAAGAGAGCAACAAAGCTGCCATGGTCTATAATTGTTGCTAGTCATGATATTATTTGATGCAGTGTAATCAATGCTTGGGACGCGGGTAGCGCTGTGGGTAAAAGCCTCAGCGCCTAGGGCTTGCCGATCGAAAGGTCGGCAGTTCGAATCCCCGCGGCGGGGTGCGCTCCCGTTGCTCGGTCCCAGCACCTGCCAACCTAGCAGTTCGAAAGCACCCCCGGGTGCAAGTAGATAAATAGGGACTGCTTACTAGCGGGAAGGTAAACGCGTTTCCGTGTGCTGCCCTGGCTTGCCAGATGCAGCTTTGTCACGCTGGCCACGTGACCCGGAAGTGTCTCTGGACAGCGCTGGGCCCCGGCCTCTAGAGTGAGATGTGCGCACAACCCTAGAGTCTGTCTAGACTGGCCCGTACGGGCAGGGGTACCTTTACCTTTACCTTTTAATCAATGTATGCATTGCATCATACAGTCACACAAAAAAGATAGGTCCTTACCCTAAGGAGCTTATACAGTGGTACCTCAGGTTACATACGCTTCAGGTTACAGACTCCAGTAACCCAGAAATAGTGCTTCAGGTTCAGAACTTTGCTTCAGGATGAGAACAGAAATCGTGCTATGGCAGCGTGGCGGCAGCAGGAGGCCACATTAGCTAAAGTTGTGCTTCAGGTTAAGAACAGACCTCCGGAACGAATTAAGTACTTAACCCGAGGTACCAGTGTAGTTTAAAATTGCTGAGTTTGCAGTGGAAAGGCATCAAAGGAAGAGGTAGGACACAAAGGTGACAAAAGAGGGGAGAATTGTTGCTTATGCTTCGTGAATAAAGCACTACTGGGTCTCTGCCACCAGAGCTATACTTGGAACCCAAAAGAGGGGAGAATTGTGAGAGGCAAGTTTTAAAAAAAGGATGAAGGTGAGCACATGCAGTTGCATGCATGGTTCCCAGGAGATTCACCTCCTTTCGTAGCCATTTGTTGTACCCTGCAGGGTGATGAT